TGGCATGGTTGTGTAGAGTATATCAGTGTAATTATAACCTTTGATTACAGATCAAGTAATATTGTTTGTGACTGATGGGAAACCTGACGATGACATGGCAGTTAGTTCAACGGATTCGGTCGAGTATGTACGCAATGCAGCCATTCTTAAAATGATTATTGATAGAAATAACGAAATGGGCAATAAAGTTTCTATTTTCACGTACGGACTGGGATCAGGTAATTATTTAAAGTATATGTAATAATATAATAAATAGAAATGACATATCCATATTGCACTTATCGACTATATACTTATGAATATTAATAGTTACAATATACCACCTGATATTCGCTGTAACTCGTTATCAACTTGTATCCTGGCCACTGTGAAATTTGAAAAATCGTTTGTTTTTGTAGACGTGGACAGCGACCTACTTGAAGCCATGGCTACTCAAAATGGCAGCGCATATGGTATTTTCTCCGCAAATAAGTTCTACAATTGTGGTGTGTACATTATTACCTTTCATTATATTGTGATATTTTTTTTATATGTAACACAAATAAATCACAGACCAAGCTCGAGATTTCTCTTTATGTATGGAACAGCCCGCACTGGATCCTTCTGATTTAATTTGAAAAACTAAATATTATTACGTTGTTTTCAGACTGGCCAAGCCACATTAGTAACTCGTCCTGAAGAACTTCGTAATAAAATAACTTCTTACAACGATTATTATACAAACACACAAAACAATGAAACTACTTTTTCTGTGCCGTATCAAGGAGCGTCCGGGATTGGTGAGTTTCAGATTATTTCAGTCAAATCAACTTGGATTATTTGGATTTGGATTTGGATTAAAAGTCAGCGACTACCTAACGTTTGTTAGTCTATTGCAATCATTGGTCTTTAGATATGCTCGATTAACATAGGTTAATAATAATGTTATACCAATTTTAGTATTAAAGTGCTTGCCACGTCACGAAGATGTGCTGTATCAACTGTACTGGCGGTCCACACTCATAGTCAATATCTTGTAAATACGACTACTGTATTTTTGAAACTTTTTTTCAAAATGCGGAGATTACTAATCAGAATACGAAACAAAAATGTGGCAGATTCCAAATTCTTAGGTATTATGTTTACCAGTTTGGAATCTCAACCACGTTCGATTATGGCACATTACCGTCTTAATGTCATGGTATATGTATATATCGTGTTTGCTCCATTAGGTCTGACGATAACGGTATCCATACCTGTCATTCACAACAGTGTTCTGCACGGTATATTAGGAATATCGATCACATTAGATGATATTTTTGCTGATGTCACTTATTTCGGCCAAGGACATTTGTCTTATGCCTTCATGTTTGAAGTCAGCCCAAGGTTTACTGGTGAGTATTATAAAAAATATTTAGGATGAAGTTCGTTCCCTACTCCAACCAATCGTTGTAGTGAATAACGGTAATTATGAATGCTACTCATTAAGCAAAACTTGAATTGGTATCCCTCCATCCATGTAAAACTCCACATTGGTAAGTCGATGTACGTGACATGTCCAGTTATGTAAAACTTCACATTGGTAAGTCGATGTACGTGACATGTTCAGTATGTAAAACTCCACATTGGTAATTCGATGTACGTGACATGTCAAGTCTTGTAAAACTTCACATTGGTACGTCGATGTACGTGACATGTTCAGTCTTGTAAAACTCCACATTGGTAATTCGATGTACGTGACATGTTCAGTCATGTAAAACTCCACATTGATAAGTCGATGTGCGTGACATGTCCAGTTATGTAAAACTCCACATTGGAGTATATGTGCATGACATGTTCAGTCTTGTAA